GAGGATCATAGTTAGACCAATATTTGACAGTGCATCCCACGATGGAGTCAGAGGAGATAAAAGACTCAAGGCTTCCAGCATCAGTTCTGCAGGAGGGGTACAGTTCACTAATGAGGCATTATTGTAGGGAAAGGAACAGAATCTTCTCAGGAGTGAGAAAGGTGTCTATTGGGGGGACTTCTAACCTAGGGAGTCCCCTGAGAGTAAAGATGCCCCCAGCTCCCAAAGGGGAAACCTAGTTTCACTGCACACCCTTGGACAGGCAAGACCAAATTTAGCAGTGCATCCCACCAAAAAATGACCATAAATCAGTCCTCATGGGAAAGGGAGACTCACTGCCTGGAGAAAGCAAAACCCTGGCTACCCAGCAGTGATCAGTTCCAATAGTTCCACAGAAAAAGTTGGGGCTGCATTTGGGGACACAAACATGACTCAACAGGCCTTCACATATATAACAGAGTGAATGAAGTCCAGTGGGGGACGGCTGTAATGTGTATTTTTACAAGCAACTTTGCAGGGAATGGCAGTGCACACTTGTATTTACAGAGTTTGGAAGGCAAAGGCAAGAAGGAGCATGAGCTCCAAGCCAGCCTGGGCTACATATATCAAGACTTTGTTTCAAAAGAACAGCCCGATGTGGTGAGGCATCCCTTAATCCCAGCACTTGTGAGGCAGAGGCCAGCAGATACCTGTGAGGCCAGCCTGGTCTAGGCCAACCAGAGCTACATAATGAGACCATGTCTCAAAGAACAACAGCCTTGCGTGGTGGTGCACGCCTTTAATCCCAGAACTTGGGAAGCAGAGGAAAGTGGATCTTTGTGAGTTCGAGGCCAGCCTGGTCTACATAGTGAGTTCCAGGCCAGCTGGGGCTACAAGGAGACCCTGTTTCAAAAAGACCAAGAAAAAAACCAACAACAACAAAACAAAAACAATTTAAGTATTTTTATTTATTATTTTATGTGTGTGAGTGTATCGCCTGCATGTATGTAAGTGCACCTGTGTTATGCAGTGCCCTTGGAGGTCAGAAGAAGGCATTAGAGCTCCTGGTAGCTGGAGTCAGGGAAGGTTGTTAGCCACCCTGTGGGTGCTGGGAATTGAACCCAGGTCCTCTGCAAGAACAGCCAGGGCTCTTAACCACTGAGCCATTTCTCCAACCCCAGAAAAGAAAATTTTAGACAAAATCAAAAAAAATACAAGCAATCCTTATCCCCATTCCAGGTGACATTTGTGTGTGTTTACCTTACAACAAAAGTGGCAGATCCCTGTATTCCAGAGGTGGAGCTAGGAAGAGCAGGAGTTTTAGGCCAGCCTCAGCTACAAAGGCAATCTGAGCTATATGAGACCCTGTTTGAAAACAAACAAATTGCAGTTCCTGAGGATGCTTTTCACACTCAGCTTCTTTCTGTCTAAAATGGGCCTCTGGACCTTGCCCCAGTCCTTTCAAGTTGTCATGAGAATGAAAGTATAAGAGATTTGGAAGCATTCTGTAGACTATAAGGTGGTTTTTGTTTTCTGTTTTTTTGAGACAGCGTCTCCCTGTAGCTCCAGCTGGCCTGGAACTCACTACGTAGACCAGGCTGGCCTTGATCTCACAGAGATCCACCTGCCTCTGATTCCTGAGTGCCAGGATTAAAAGTGTATGCCACCATGCCAGCCTCTGAGGTGGTTTTGGAAAGGAGTGGGATAGCTTTCCTTCCCTAGTTGATGGGCAGTTTATGAAATTACTCATTGCGAATCCTGGAATGTGTCAAAACCAGGAAGGATCACAGAGAGCACATAAGCTCTTGCTGTACAGATGGGAAAATGAGGCCCATTCAGGGATGTGAACCCAGCTAGTGACAGTATCTGGTCCACACTGGATCCCCAGCTGTGGGGTCTGTCACCCTTCTGTGCTGTTCCCCCACCCCCGCCCCAGTTGAGAAACTGAGGGCTAGATCTCATTCAGCACAACCAAGCCAGGCACTGACAGAGGGTGAGAGAGGCTGGCACATTCCCATTCCAGATGGACAGTTTCCTTTCTCCAGGCTTTCCTAAGGGACCTGTTAACAATAACACTCACTTTTGTAAAGGCTTCTGCTACTCAGTAGTCATTCAACAAACACTGAGCATCTGTTGTATATCAAGGATCAAGGTGGTTGCTGGAGAGAGAAGACTTAGTATTGTCCCACTTTATGATGCTTAAACTGAGGCACAAGGCATGAATTTACCTAGATGAAAAGGCTATATTATCCAGGCTTCAAGAGGCCAAGGCCAGGGGCTGTCCAAAGCCTGACTCAAAGTATTCATCACGAATCCCAAAACCAAGGGCGGTAGCGCATGCCTATAGTCCTAGCTACAGAGGAGGCTGAGGTGGTATGACCATTTGAGTCCAGGGATTAGAGGACAGCTGGGCAACAGAAAAAAAAAATTACCGGACACAATCATAAAGGGGAAAAAAATTTTTTTTTCAAGAAAGTACATCTCCCAGGTTAAAAACAAAGGTGCCCTCCTTCCCTGCTCCCCTCATGCCCTGTTGCAGTAAAAAGGAATGTGGCATAAAGACCAGATTTTCCTCATGAAAATGAGGGAGAGATAAGGACTTTTTGGATCAGTTAATACCTAATGGAAGCAGAAAAGGCCTGAGAGATGGGCTCCGTGGCCCAGAGCCTGGAAGATCCTGATAAGGCTGTTCTCAATGTCAGCAGTTCTCCTGGGACTGACCAGTGTCCAAAAAATAAATCCACCATCACTGGGCAGCCACTGCAATTGAGGATCTCCTTTCAACTTCATAATCCCATAAGTGAAGCTTGTTTATCTGCAGGATGCAGAAAGGGGGAGGCTCAGAGAGGGGCCCTCACAGCTCACAGCAAACCGAGATGGGAACTTAGCCTGTTCCTCTACAAAACCTAGGGCTGCCCTTCATATTTGCTGCTCTCTGCTCATGTCCCAAGAGCCAGGATCAAGATGTATAATGTGGGGGCTGGAGAGATGGTTCACTGGTTAAGAGCACTGGCTGCTCTTCCAAAAGACCCAGTTCAGGGGCTGGAGAGATGGCTCACTGGTTAAGAACACTGGCTATTCTTGCAGATGACCCAGGTTGGAATCCCTGGAACTCCAGTTGCAGGGGATCTGATGCCCTCTCCTGTCCTCTGCAGGGCATTGCATGACACAGGTGCACTTACATACATGCAGGCAATACACGAATACACATAAAATAAAACTAATAAATAAATTATTAAAAAGAAAGACCCAGTTCAGTTCCCAGCACCCACATGGTGGCCTACAACTGTCCATAGCTCCAGTTCCAGGGGATCTGACGCCCTCTTCTGCCCTCTGTGGGCATTGCATGACATGGATGCACTTACATTTGGATGAAACACTCATGTATATAAAATTAAAAATAAATTTTAAAAAGAATTATGTGGTTTCCGAAAGGTGTTAAGGTGTGGGGCTGGAGGGGTGGCTCCATGGTCATTACCATATTAGGCAGCTCACAACTGCCTGTAACTCATCACTCTCTTCTGGCCTCAGCAGGCACCTGCACACATATAGCATATACGCAGAAAGGCACATACACATAAATAAAATAATAAAAATCAATCTTTTTGTTGGGCATGGTGGTACATGCCTTTAATACCAGCACTGGGAGGCAGAGGAGGTAGTTCTCTGTGAGTTCAAGACCAGCCTGTTCTACATAGTGAGATCCAGGCCAGCCAGTGCTGCACAAAAATATCATTTTTTAAAGGTATTAGGGTGGATTCTGGCTTGGTTAGTAGGTTTTTATGCTCACCACCATCTCTACCAACCCCATTTCTCAAGGAGTCCATGTCCTTGGCCTAAAGAGTCTTTGTTTCTAAGATGAAAGATGGTCCAGCAGTAAGGTAATAGACCTCTAAATCCATAAATCCAGGCATATATAAATAGGAATCCAGGTCTGTGCACTAGAGATTCCTATCATTTCTTCTGCACCTCATTCGTTCAAGCCACAGAGATTTACTGAGCACCTAGTGTCCAACATTGTGCTAAGAGCTGGGAAGAGAGCCTTCAACAAACCAGATGTATCTCAACACCTGGAGCTCACAGACCAGTGGAAGGCCAAAGAATTATTTCCATGGATCTGCACAGTATGCTCATTAAGATGCTTGACAAGTGACACAGATGCTTTTAAACTATTTCATTCACAGACCTCACCTAAACATACATTCTTAGCTTTAAAAAAAAACTTCAGACATGAATATCCCATCATTACACATAATGCAGAATTGGGAGAAATGGCTCTGTGGTGACTTCACTTTATTACGGGCACAGAGACATCCATTGTTGAGTCTTGGCAGAAGGCAGTGGGGAGTTTTGCATCTGCAACTCCTCGTTCCTCTTGAATGATCCCACGACGCTACTCTGACTGGCAGTTTACTGTCCCTAGAGGTGTTCTGTCACCATGCCAACTCTGGTTGAGCAGGCCTCCTACCCACTGGAGAGGTGGTCTTATACAGGGCAAGCCTTCAGAGCCAGGAAGAACCCAGCTCTTCCTGCCCCATCTCTGAAGGAGTCCATGGGGCAACAGTTCTAAGATGGGCATCAGGGTTGGGTGAGGAAACAAAGCAGAGTTTTCAAACTGGCCCACAGGTATGGTTTAATTTAAAAATCTAAGCACTTAGTTTTCTGATTAAAACAGTAATAGAGGCTGGGGAATGTAGCTCAGTTGGTAAGTGTGCTAGCATTTATGAAGCCCTGGGTTTAATCTGAATAAAACTGGTTGTAGTGGTGTATACCTGAAATCCCAGCACTAGGGAGGTGGAAGCAGAGAGGTCAGAAGTTCAAGGTCATCCTCGGCTACATAGCAAGTTCAAGGCCAGCCTGGGCTACTTGAGTCCCTATCTCAAACCAGTAATAGTGGCAATACTGACCAGTCTTCAAGGTGCTAAGCAGTTCCTGTGCTCCTTTAGCCAGGGCTACTCCATCCCTGATCCCAGGCTACCACATTTATTCTCTGGCTTGCCTTGCTCAGTGACCGTACTTACCCTGACATTCCAGATGGGTCTGCAACTTCTCGTGTACCATACCGGCACAGAAGGAGCAAACATTCACTATTAGAGTGCTGCTCAGGCACTGCCTGGTTCCAGCACAGCTTTTCTCCTCTACAAGTCACAAAAGATAGAACATAGACATGGGAGAGTAGGAAATGTAGGTGTCAGCCAATAGCCTGGCTGTGGCCCTGGCTATCAGTCAGCTCATACACTCAGTGAGGTCTGGGTCAGAGGATCCAAGGTCCAATGTAAGAAGTAGGTCATGGGTGAAAATCAAGCCTTCTTGACAGTCCTGAGCTTGTGCTCTCAAACCTGTCTTCTCTCCAAGCCTTGTTCAGGACAACCTCCTTTCTCAGAACCACTCAAACCTCTAGGGTATTATACTTCTACCAGGAAAGAGGGAAAACCAGACGCAATGGCTTCCTGCTTGCACGGACTAGACCACACTGAAGACTCTTACAGACAAGGGCTCTGTCTCTTTATCTGTAAATGGGGATGGAAGTCACATAATAACAACAACAATAATAATAATGCTGTTTGCCTGACAGTGCTATTGCCACAGTGAACAAGCTGGCAAATGCTTAGAACAGTGGCTGGCATGCAGAGTACTCAATGTATGTCAACTGCTATTGATACTGGGTGGGGAGGAGGCCAGCAAGACAGCTCAGTGGGTTAAAGAGCTTGCCACCATGCCTGATTGAGTTTTGTCATTGGAAGGATTACTAGAACCTACATCAAGATAGGACAGAATCAACTCCATAATGTTGACTTCCACATACACACACTCTATCATACAAATAAATAAATGGAATTTTTTTATCATACAAATAAATAAATGGAAAAAAAGTTTGTTTATTTATTTATTTATTTATTTATTTATTTATTTATTTATTGGTATTTTTGAGACAGTGTCTTCCTGTAGCCCCAGCTGACCTGGAACTCGCTATGTAGGCCAGGCTAGCCTCGAACTCACAGAGATCTGCCTGCTTCTGCCTCCAGAGTGCTGGGATTAAAGGTGTATGCCACCACCCCCAGAGGAAAAAAAGTATATTTAAAAAAAAAAAAAAAGAAGATTGGAGATGAGACACGCTTGGTGGTACATATCTGTAATCTCAGTTCTTGGCAGACAGAGGCAGGAAGTTCAGGAGTTCAAGATCAGCCTGGGCTAGATAATGAATTCAAGGTCAGCCTGGGCTACATGAGACTCTTGTCTCAAACTCTCAAGCACACCAAGACAGGTGGTCTACATTCTCATCTGGAGTTTTCCACAGAGGAAGAGAAAAACTATTCCTCTTCACCTGCAGAATAGGATAGTTTTCCTGAAATAATCTCTGTCCTACCTCTCAAATTCTATGAGGCAGAGACAGATACAGAGACAAGGGAAAAAATATGTTAACTGGATAATGCAGTGCAGCACTGAGAAGATGCCTCTTCCCACTCTTTCTCAACCTTTTTGGCGGCAGGTAGTGGGGAGACACAGGGTCTCATGTGGCTTGGGCTGGTCTGGAACTCCATATGCAGCTGAATTCCTTGAACTCCTGATTCTCCTACCTTGCCCTCCTAAGTACTGGGATTATAGGTGTATACCACCACCACACCTGGTTCCTCAATCTTTTTCATATTTGAACATCTCTGAAATTCTATCTTTTCCTCTACCCCCTTCTCTCTTTGTGGTGCTAAGGGTAGAAACCAGGGCCCTGTGCATGCTGCATGCTAAGAAATGGTCTACTGCCTGGCATGGTGGCACATGCCTTTAGTCCCAGCACTCGGGAAGCAGAGGCAGGCGGATCTCTGTGAGTTTGAGGCCAGCCTGGTCTACATATCGAGCTCCAGTCCAGCTGGGGCTACAGGAGACCCTGTCTCAAAAAAAAAGAAAAAAAAAAAAGAGGAAATGATCTACTATTGATCTATGGCTCCAGATCCTGTTTTCTTTAGGGAATCAAAATAATGGTTTATCTCGGATGGTGTCTTAGAGGTGGTGAGCTACAGTGTACAGCAAGTGCCAGGTGGGGTTGGGAGTGAACAGGGGCTGAGCCCATGTTTAGCATATGGAAGGCCTTGGTTTCCATCCCTGGCACACACGGATGCAGGACACAGCACTTGTGGCGCCATAAGCCCTCAAGTTATCCTGGTCATCTTCAGCATCACCAGAGAATGGCCACAGTGGAGCAATCAGTTTTTCTTTCTTTTTCTAGCTGACACCTGCATTAGGTACCCAGGTTGACAGGCACATGGTAAATGCAGTTAGGGAGTGGAGAGGGGAAGGCACAGGGCTGGAAAAGAAAGGCTTTTTATAATGTATTAGGGTATTCAGAGGAGGAGCCACAGCCCTCCAACAGCCCCCTCCACTGCCCACACACTATTTTTAAATAACAAAAAAAATCGCTTCTGGAAGCCGGAGTTATATATATGCCAAACAGGCCAGGAAACTCAGCAGGCCTCCTGGAGCTGGCAATGAACCAAAACAGGGGCATTGTGTCCAGGCCACTGGTTGGCTGAGGGGGCATTGTTAGGGCCTGGCCCTGTCTGGGAAGAGGGGGGTAAAAGGGGCAGGGGGAGTGTGTTCCCATGACTCCCTGGGGAGTAATGACAATCAGGGCCAGCTGGGAAGCCTGGCATGCCAGAGGCCCAGTAGGCGGCTGGCTTCAGAGGAGGGCAAGAGGGGATTGAGGAGGAACAGGGGAGGGGGACAAGGTCCAGGCCCTGTTTCTTGGCTGGGGGGTGAGCTCCTAAGCAGGGAGAACATGGGGGTTATTCACTACACTCCTCTCCCTTATCCCACCCAAGCCCTGGATCACTTTTCGAAGTGTACTCCTAATCTGCCCACTGTTCCTTCCTACCTCACCCCTGTCCAGGACACCCTGGATCCCTATGCTCTGTTCTTCATATACAGTTAGAAGAAGCTTTCCCAAATGGAGCTAACATCACATCACTGTTCCCCTGCTTAAACATTCCCCTGAGGACAGCTGAGAACACCACCGGAGACAGAGTCTCCTGCAGTGACTTTTGGAAGTCATAATTTTTTGATTTTCGGTTTGGGTTCTTTTGGTTGTTGAGACAGTGTCTCACTATGTAACCCTGAATGGCCTGTAGCTCAGTATGTCTTTCAGGCTAGCCTCAAACTTGTGGCCTCTGTCTCCGAGTTGCTGAGATTACAGGTCTATACCACCATGCCAGAACGTTTTTTCTGTTTTGTTTTTTTTTTCTTGTTTATTTGTTGTTTTTGTTTCTTTTTTAAATATTTTTTTATTTTATGTGTATGAGTGTATTGCCTGCATGTATGTGAGTGTACCACCCATGTTATGTAATGCCCATGGAGGTCAGAAGAGGGCACTGGATCCCCAGGAACTGGAGTTAAAGATGGTTGTTAGCTGCCATGTGGGGGCTAGGAATTGAACCTGGGTCGCCTGCAAGAGCAGCCAGTGCTCTTAACTACTGAGCCATCTCTCCAACCCCTTGTTTCTTTAAAAAAATTTTTTAATTAATTAATTTATTTTAACATTTTATTTATTTGATTTTATGTGTATGCATGTATTGCCTGCATGTATTAAGTGCACCCATGTCATACAGTACCCCCAGAGAAGAGAAGGGGATGTCAGATCCCCTGGAACTGGAGTTATGGATGGTTGTTAGCCATCATGTGGGTGCTTGGATTCAAACCCGGGTCTTCTGAAAGAGCAGCCAGTGCTTTTAACTGCTGGGACATCTCTCTAGCTCCAATTTATTTTTAAAAATTTTATGTGTATGAATGAGTATATTGCCTGCATGTATGTAAGTGCAATGCCCATAGAAGACAGAAGAGGGTGTCGGCTCCCCCGTAACTGGAGTTACAGTGTTGTACCTCATCCACTGGACCCCAAAAAGACCACCGAGGACCTAACACACCAAAATACAAAAGCAAAGGTTTATGGTTTATTCAGGCTTAAGCTCGGGCTCTCAGACCTCACCAACTCAACGGATTCGTGCTGAGAGCCCAGAGTAAGGGAGAGTGGAGCCTTTTATAGGTTTTAGACAAAGAGAGGAGGGGGATACCAAAGATACATTTTTGTTGGTTCAAGGAGCCCGCGCGCACCAACATAATTTTAAACTGATTGGATGTATTTTCTTATTGGTAGGTGCTATTCTCAGGGCTGTGGAATGTGCTGACTGTCATCTGTGGGGCCAGGAGTTTCCGTTTTTACCTTATAGGGCAGTTTTCATGTCCGGGCTTGCTTAATCTATAGTTTCCTGGAAGGGGGGGGATAGCAGGCGGGGGTCAGGGCATGTCTAGGCATGTCTAAAGCAGCTGCCAAGCATTTTACAGAAGCTAAAAGAGCAATTAGTGGGGGTCTGGAGGGATTGGGGGGTAGCGGGTGAATGAAGAGGGTCTCAGGGTTCTACATTCCCCCCTTGTCTTATAACTGGGGAACCCAATCATGGGTTCTGGCCGGCCAGCTCACGGGTATCTGGGGGGCTCGTGCTAAGGGGCATATGGGGATTCATGTTACTTGCAGGAAAGGTGCCATCAGCTGATAAAAAGTTCAATGTCAACAATAGACAGGTTAGCAGGAACGGTCTCGTCAGATGTGGAGCTTGAATGTATTCGAAGGGTGTGGGGATGCCTTCCAGGTGTCTCCCTTGTAATCCTCTGGGACTGCAAACGGGTCGGCAGGTTTTGCATGGGAGTAGTACACCCAAGCTGCGACACTGTCCACTTTGAGTGCGGTGGGAGTCGTCAAGAGGATCACGAAGGGGCCCGTCCATCTTGGCTCGAGATTTTTCCGTTGCTGTCTGCAGATGAAGACCCAGTCGCCCGGTTTAAACCTGTGGGGTTGCGGGGGGACAGCAGCTTCATATGTGGCTCTGAGTTGTGGCCAGACCTATTAGTGGGTTAGCTGCAACCGTTGGAGTGAGTCCAGTAGGTCCTGGTCTCCCAAGGTCAATACTAAGTCAGCTTGGAGGCTAGGTATCATAGGAGGGGGGTTTCCATACATAATTTCAAAGGGGGTCAGCCCATCTGGCACCTGTGGGGTTGCGGGGGGACAGCAGCTTCAT